CTTTGGAAAACCTTCAGAATCTTATAATATCGAAGCATGCATATGGGGCAAAAGAGTAACATTTTCATGAGGACTGGTGTCAAAATGAAGAACCCCTCCAAATATTTTTGCACATCCCACCTACTTATTAGTTCAATGTTTGGGCATCAATATTGCATCTACCTGAAAGAAACACTCTCATTTACTTTTCTACTGAAATCTTTATTATAATACAAAATGGGTGTTGGTAGAAGTTACCGTGAACACCCTTTCTATCTATGCTGCGAGAGAGCCCAGGATGGGTTGACTCCTTCCTATGACGTCATTTAGCTGAGTCTGTACTAAGATATAAAAGCCAGCCCCGGAAGATACCCCAGCTTTGGCAAAGATACTTGACAGACTGAAAGGTGTCTCTGAAAGCACAAATGAATACAGAAATATGACTTACCCTCTCTGAATGAATCAAGAGAGGGGCTGGGCTCTCTCGCAGCATAGATAGAAAGGGCGTTCAGGGTAACTTCTACCAATGCCCATTCTCCTCCATGCTGCACTGAGAGCCCAGGATGGGACATACCAAAGCTTGCATGTCCACGGGTGGGTCCTCGTCTGGCTCATCACACTGACTGTTGAACCACTCGTTGAAGCACCCGTCTGCCGAAGGCTGAAGTTGCTGAGGCAAAGGCATCCAGACGGTAGTATCTGATGAAAGGAGATGGAGATGTCCACGTGGCCATACGACAGATCTCCTCCAAGGGTGCTTGGGTCGCCCAGGCAGCCGAAGTGGCCGCGTTTCTGGTAGAGTGCGCCGTCAGACCTCGAAGAACCGGAAGGGCCGCAGCTTTGTAGGCCTGCTCAATCCAAGATCTGACCCACCTGCTAATAGTAGAAGAGGTCTTGTGCCCCAAGTGAGAAGGGAAAAGGAAACAAACATGGCTTCCGACTTCCTAAAGGAGGAAATGTGCTTAATGTATATTCTAAGTCATGGTGCGGGAGGGGGCAGAAGCCAGGCAACATAATGTCCTGGGACCTGTGGAACAGGTGTTAACCTTTGGAAGAAATGAGGGGTCCAGACTGAGGACAACCCTATCATCGTGAAAGGAACAAGATCCTGTCTGATGGAAAGAGCTTGGATACCTGCCTGGCTGAAGTGATGGAAATGGGGAACACGACCTTCAGAGTCAGGAAACGGAGAGACAATGTTCTAAGGGGTTCAAAGGGGGGCTTTGTAAGGGCATTAAGGACCTCATGAAGGACCAGGAAGGATACCTGTGAACCACCGGGGGTGCAGGTTGGAAGTCCCCTTTCAAAAAAAAGACTTCCTGACTGAAGGGTGATGGGATAAGGAAGGAAGCGAACCCCATGAAAGAACCGAGGAGAGGGCCTCAACCTGCCTGCGTAAGGTGTTGGGGGCCAAACCTTTCTACAGATCATGCTGAAGGAATCTAAGAACCTCTGCCAACTGGGCTGAAGCAGGAGAGAGACCCTCCCTAAGGCACCCTCGGGAAGGGCCTTCCAGGTGGCATCATAGATGCGCCTTGTAGAAGGTTTGCGAGATGCCAGGATAGTGATGATGACCCTTTCAGGAAGATCAGCCACCCCTAGCCGCTGCCGCTCAAGTGCCACATGGTCAGCTTGAGCCACAGGGGCTCCGGGTGGAGCAGAAGGTTAGATGGGCTGGGATCCTCCAAGGAGAAGCCCCCGATAGGTTGACCAGGTCCGCAAACAAGGGCGTCCTTGGCCAATAGAGTGTCAGGAGGAGGAGCTCCGCTCGTTCCTCCAACATCTTCCAAATTACTGCCGGAATGATGGGAAGCGGGGGAAAGGCATAGAGGAGACTTTTGGGCCATCTGCACCAAACAGCATTGGTCCCCTTAGCTCCCTGGCAAGGAAACCTGGTGAAGAATCTGGTGACCTGGGCAATTTGAGGAGTGGAGAAGAGATCCACCTCCGGTGTTCCGAATCTGAGGAAAAGGTCCCTGAATAGAGACGGAGGAATGGACCGTTCTGCCTGGTCGACTAGGCTCCTGCTGAGCCAGTCGGCCTGGGAGTTGTCGATCCCGGAGATGTGGTCCGCCAAGATTGACAACAGGTATTTCTCTTCCCATAACACCAACCGTAGCGCCTCTCCCAGGAGGACTCTGGACCTCGTCCCCCCTTGCCGGTTGACATGAGCTATGGCAACCATGTTGTCCATAAGGACTAGAACATGAGAACCAGTCACTGAGTGCCTGAAATGCTTGAGAGCTAGAAAAATGGCTCTGAGCTTTAGCCAATTTATGGGAAGGGCCAGCTCTGACCTGGACCAAGGTCCTGAGCTATCTGGCCCTTCATATGGGACCCCCAACCCAGGAGGCTGGCATCGGTGGTATCACTAGCCTGTCTGGGACCGTGAAAGGGAGTCCCTTCCAGATTAACGGGGAACGCCACCATTCAGAGATCTCCAGATTTGTGGTGGGAGCGGGACCTTGATGGATGAGAGGCTGGTTCCTGTTCGTTGGTAGGGAAGCAGGAACCATTGGAGTGGACGGGAGTGGAAAAATCCGTGGCTCTGGAGATATGACAGGGTAGTTTGCAGATCCCGATGGGCTGCATGGATGGAGGAGGACAGAATCAAAATGTCATCCCAGTAGCATTGGATCCTCACTGGAACAGAACGCAGAGATGCCATCAATGCTGCCAGAACCTTCGTGAAGACTCTTGGAGCCGATGAGAGGCCGAAAGGAAGTGCTCGATACTGGTAATGGGTATTCTGATAACAGAAATGGAGAAACTGGCGATGATGAGGCCAAAAGGGGATGTGGAAGAAGTCTCCATGAAATCAATGGAAGAGAGGAGATCACCTTCCTGAACACTCTCTAAAATAGAATGCAGAGTCTGCATTTTAATTTGTCTGTATTTTACCAATTGGTTGAGAATTTTTAGATCCAGGATGGTTCACCACCACCCCTGAGGCTTTGGGAACGATGAAAAGGCGAGAGGAAAGCCTATGACCCCATTGAGAAGGGGGAACAAGTTGAATAGCTCAGATTTCAAGGTGTTGAATGGCCTGTTTCATGAGGTCTTGCCTTGAAATGTCCCGAGAGACAGGCCAGCTCAAAATAATAATAATTTTTTTTTCCTTTTTGGGGTGGCATTAGGAAGTCCAATTGTAACCCTGACCTAATAGTGCTGAGCACGCAGGCATCCATTGTTGACTCCTCCCATTTGGAGGCAAAGAAGGCTAGGCGACCTCCGATGGGTGGGGAGAACGAGGGATTACTTAGAGTGATGGAAGGAATGACCCCCCCCCCGAAAGGGCTGTTTACCAGTAGAAGGTTGTTGCCTGCCAGATGCTTCCGCACGTTGGTCTTGGCGTTGGGAGTATGGCCTCTGAGACTGGGGGAAGAGGGATGAGGTCTCCGCTCAAAAGGCAGGAGGGCGATAAGGAGCTGGGTGATAGTCGGCTCTCTTCCCAGAGGAAGAGAGAATTTTACGTTTATCTCTGGTTTCGATGAGATAAGGTTCCAGAGCATCACCAAAAAGCTTTATCGCCCGCGAATGGAACTGAAGCCAGCTTCCATTTATGGCGTGACTCTGCCTGCCAATTTCTGAGCCATAACAGTCTTCTTGCTGCTACTGAAGATGCCATGGCCCTAGATATAAATTTGGCGAAATTGAGAGTGGCATCTGCAGTGAATTCCGCTGCTGCGATAATCTTATTAAGGTCTTGGTGAGACCGAAGGTCAAATTTAGGCAATCTAATCTGGAGTTGGTGCAGCCACTGTGATTGTGCTTGAGGGCCTGTTCGGAACGTTTATCATCTGGTTTCAGGTATCTTCTGGCTCCGGGGGAGTGCCAGAAGAGGAGAACAAGGCCAGAACCAGAATGTCAACAGAAGGCACTGCCAGGGCCTTCACTGAGGTGAAGTTATTGTCCAGGGCTGCGCTGATGTTGTAGAAACGCTTATCCAGAGTAGACATGCGAAGACCTGCCGAAGGGGAAGCGCACTGTTCCTTGACCATGTCCGGGAGCAAAGTGGGAGAAGGCAAAACCCCTGCATGCGCTACAGGCTTGGAGAAGAGTGAGTCTCCCTGGCTAGATTTCCTTGTGGCTCGGGAGCCACTTCCTCTGGCGACAGCTTGGCAGTGACCAAGGCCTTGCTGAGTAATGGCCTGAAGAGAGAAGGATTGAAGACCAATGCAGAGGATGTTTGCTCTGGGCAAGAATCCTCTTCCTCTGAAAGATTTTGGTCAAAGGTCTCACTCTAAATCAGGGTGATGAGGCAGGGAACTTATAGATTGAGAAGGGAGAAGGGCCTGAGCCCTTTCCAGAGGTCGAAGAATTTGCTTGAAGCCTTCAGCCAATCCCTGCCTAATGGCCAATGAGACAACATCTTAGATATTCCCTGGTCTATGCTCAAAGGTAGAGGCAGAAGGCCCACTGCTGTGGGAGTGAAGGTGGTTTCAGGCCTAGATTGAGAAGAGGTTCGAGGCCTGGAGGGAAGGGGAGGAGCATAGGGCACAGAATCCTGTTGGAAATAAGGCCCATAACTGCTTAGATCCTGAGGATCATATTGTACTGCCAAAGCCTCAGGAGACCAGGATGGAGAATGGAAAGGCCCAAGATAACTTCTCCTCCCCTGGGAAGGCTTGGCTGGGGCCCACGGGTATCACCTGAAACATGCTGTAGTTGCACTCCCTTCTGTTGAATAGTTCTGTTGAACTGCCTCTCTAGAGCTGCATGTCTGTGCTTCTCTGCCCTCAATTCAGCCTGAGTTGCCTTCTTAAGGGCTAGAGCCTTAGCTCTGATTTTAGCAGCCACCTCCCTCTGGACCGATTAGGTGCGTTGCCTACGTCTTTTTCTCTTATTGGGCTTAAGAGACTCCCCACTGGGGGGGAAAGCTCTGCCTGACCCTTATCTTGCTCCATAGTAGAATAAAAGGCTCTTGCGATGGAAAGAAACTGTAAATTTTTTGTATTAAGCCCCTTAGGGTATAAATTGGCCCACGGGCTTACAAAATGGCTGCTCCCCTCGTGGTGGAAGGCTTCAATCCAAGATGGCTGCTGACTATGGGAAACAGGTTTTGAGATCGAAGAATCGCTCCTTAGGCTATAAAGAGCCCCGAGCGAAGACAGCAAAGGAAAGGGCAGCCTCTGGCCACACGATCAGCTGGCTGATGCTGGTATCAGTTTGCCGATTGTTTTTTATGACCGCTCAAACCGCAGGCGTGGGGGAAGTCTACAGACGCTGCCCAACTTGCCTGAACAGCGCTCTGGCAACGCTGCTCCCAATGTTGCAGGAGAGAGAGAGAGCCCTGCTCTCCTGGAAGAGCAGCTGTCCAGATCTTGGAAGCTGCTGAAGCGAGGAAAAAAGGCACTGAAGATCGCTGGTGAGTGCTATCTACAGAATCTCAGCTGGCTGACGCTGTTATCGGTTTGCCGATCGCTTTTTACGACTGCTCAAACCGCAGGTATGGGGGAGGTCTACAGACACTGCCCAACTTGCCTGAAAAGCGCTCTGGCAACGCTGCTCGCAATGTTGCAGGAGAGAGAGCCCTGCTCTCCTGGAAGAGCAGCTGCCCTGGGAGCTGCTTGAAGCGAAGAAAAAAAGGTACTGAAGATTGCTGGTGAGTGCTAACTAACAGAACGCTTTCAGAGACTGAAAGGAGCTGAGTCAAAAGCTGGGGTATCTTCCGGAGGCTGGCTTTTATATCTTAGTACAGACTCAGCTAAATGACGTCATAGGAAGGAGTCAACCCATCCTGGGCTCTCGATGCAGCATGGAGGAGAAAAGAAGAGTACACTACCAATACATCATAATGATGAACCAGTTTGGTGTAATGCTGGCCTAGAAACCAGGAAACTGAATTTTAAGCCTGCCTTAGGCATGAAAGCCAGCTGAGTGACTTTAAGCTAGCAGTTCTCTGTTAGCCCCTTATCTCGCAGCAGGTAGCATTAGTATTTTCGCTACTTGAATTATATACTGAAAAGATGAGATTAAAAATATTATAATAATAACCACCAAATATCTGCACAAATGCCATTTGCCTGCAGGCAAGAACTGGTGGGATTACCAAACAGACAAAGTGAACTAAATGAAGAAATTAAAATAACCTGGGACTTTAGAATGCCAACAGACAAGCACTTGTCACAAAGCATCCCAGACTTAACAATTATTGATAAGGAAGATTAAATAGTCTGGATAGTGGATGCTGTAGTGCTTGGTGACAACAGAAGAGAAGACAAAGAACTGGAGCAAATTTTAAAAAATACCAAAAAATCCCTGTAGATAGAAGAATGTCTGTAGCAAAAGAAAGCAGAGATAGTACCAACAGTGATAGGTACCTAGACTGTAATCCCAAAACATCTGTAGCACCACTTGAACAAAATCATCATTGGTCAATTGCAAAAGGCAGCTTTACTTGGAACAGCTTATATCCTATGACAATACCTTTAACACCATCAAACAATAACATCTGCCTGTCCCCTGGGAAGAACTCAAAAGGTGAATAAAATTGCCACATCCGATCTAAACATCTGGCTGACTATCTAATCAACAATAATCATCACCAGTCAATTACAAAATACTTCACTTCCTGTGACGATGCCTTTAACATAATCAAAGAACAACGTCTGCCTATCCTAGGTCTTTGGGAAGGACTCGACAAGCAGATAAAATGCCAAATCTGACCATACAATAATAACAACAATAATAATAATGTAGTATTTTTATGAACTTGCCCAACGTTTGCAATTTAAAACAGCTATACTCACGTTGTGAATAAAGCAGTATCTGAAATTCCAAAAGAGCACAGGTGAAGAGTTGAAGCATATTCTCCACTCCAAGTAACTCAAAAACATCTTTGACTGGAAAATCAAATAATGGCAATTCATTGGTGCTTGGCCTCTGGCAGATTATAGGTCCATAAACTCCTGAAAACTTTAGAGATCTTCCTGCTGGAGGGAGAGGAACTTCATATAGAATGTTGTAGATAAAGCTTTCCAGTGGTAATGGTGGTGGCTGAGGTGAAGTTACAGCTTGGTGGAGTTGTTCAAGCACTTTCCTACATGCCTTCATGAAAGACATTGGAGTGATCAGACAAATACACTTAGAGACATAGAGCGTGTCTCTACTAATGTCGTACGAGTTAAATCGCTGTAGTTTTGATACAGAGGTACCATTACAATCCTCTATAGTGCTAAGGTTATCTTTATCATTGGTGGATGGAGCATGAAGAATATCATATTCTGCATTGTGCATGAGATACAATGTCTGCATTGCGCTACAGATTTGCTTACTGGTAACTTCCTCATAAAATGTTAGAGAAAATCCAAATGTCCGTGATCCATCTTCACGTGTAATGATGAATGAATGAAATTGAGGTTCTCTGGCATCAGCTTGTGTCTTGAAAGACAAACCTTTAGGCATGCATAGCTAGGCAAGAGAGAAAGGAACGTTGGAGAGAAAAAAATCACTTACTTGAATACATTTTTCACTTTTAGTACTAAAATTGATTTGAATCTCATGTTTCTTCCTGTGGTTCATAATCATGGAAGAAAGCTTTCCTATCTCCTCATTCCCATTTGCAGTCTATAGACGCCCTCTGCACAAATTTATTAGCCAAACCTTTCAAACTACTGTGAGATATAGTGCAAGAGGAGTAAAGATACTGAAGAAGTTATAAAAACCACACTCAATATAATTCAAATAAACAAAGGACCAGCTCAGGTTCAAAACCATTCGATTTCACTTGGAATAGGACTGTGCAATACTCTAGATTCAATTCAGAAGAGGTGCTTTGGTACATTCAAGGGAACAAATGCTGCACTGTATTAGAATTGTGTTTCATCAGTGACAGGTAACTGATTTAATGAGTTGTAGAAAAATAGTACATTCATATTCCCATGAACAACCTCTTTTGATCATATCTACAGCCTTATATATTCTTTAAAATGTCAAACAGTGGAAATAAGATCTTGAATCCAAAATCATTCCAATTATTAAAAATGCCTACAAAACATCGTTAGAGAGAAATGTAAATGGACACTTGTTCCTCTTAAAATAGACAGATTTGTGGCCAACACATTTATTAGCACTATTTAATTTCCCACATATTAAAACTAGTGGATTTAACTATATAGCTACCCTGAAAATTCCTATTCTGAATTTTATTCACACTAATGTCTTAACTCCCCGCCCAAAAATTTACAAATATTAATTTTAAGCATTTTTTTCAAATTCTCTCTTTTTCCTGTGCAAATAAAATAAACTTCAACATTTAAAATATTGGTAAAAATATCAAAGTGCTTATCTTAGCTATAATACAAAGAAAACACTCTAAAAACCATAATACTTTCCCACAGATTAAAAATAAACATGATGAATATGCTACACAGACATGCACCCAGACAAAAATCTATCTCGTTCATATATAAGGGACTGAATTCTTAACCCTGAAATGGATAAGTACTGCAGAATCCTAACCCATTATCATCAATAGTTAACCTCTATAGTTGTGCCCTAAAGTAGTTTTCTATCATTTAAATAGATAAGAAGAAAAACCTTGCAAATAGATCATTGTGAAATGATAGAGTTGGGACTAGACGTTAAGATTTTGAAGACTTTATGTACATGCCATTTTGCATCTCTAAAGGGACACCCTTTCTCCATTCTCTATCATTGAGGAGACAAGTCTTTATTTCATGTCACTTTATTTTATGGAAGAGTGTTCATTCTTAAATTGTTATTTAATAAATATTTTATTTTATTAAAACATCTTGAAAAACAGATGGGATTTAAAATCTAATTTAAAATTAAACTAAATAACAGTATCTTAAATACACCTAGGAATTTCTGGTCCTGTTCTAATTCTTGGGGAATCCAAAGGGATGAAAAACAAATGCTAGCAATCTATATGCAATCTAGAGGGTACATGTTCTGTACCCCAGTTATAATTTAAGTACTGGATAAGTGGATGTGGTTGATACAGAAGGCAGTTTGAATTTATGTGGATGGAAGCAGAATCCAGAAAATGATATAGAGGTGCATACAATTCTGAAAAATGTAGTGAATATTTTATATAT